GTTAGCCCCGGGTCGGGGAAGCCGCGGAGCTGCCGCTGCACCCTCGGAGCTTCACCCGCGGCCGGAGACGGACCCAAAGCCGCGGCCACGCCTGGAGCCTGGGAGCCCGGAGCCCTGTACCCCACGGCCGGAGCCTGCCCTCCGGCCCGGCACCTGCACCGGAACCCCTTCGAGGCTGAGGGATGCAGGAGCATCCCTCCCTTGCCCCGCCGTCTTCTCGTCCCCACGGCAGCCACCCTTATCCCTGCCCGGGTGCTCCGGGAGGTGGGTACCCCGGTACCCTGATGTCCCGGTGTCCCGCCACCCCCCTGTGCGGGTACTCCGGTACCCCCGGGACATCAGCATCCCCGTACCCTGGCTTGGCAGCACCCCGGCGGCGGGCAGAGGGAGTGGGGCGGAGGGTGTGTGTGGGGCAGCCCAGGACTGGGGGGCCTCGCAGGGTTCAGGGTAGAGACCTTGGAAGGATTCTGGGGGGGAAAACTGGCCTCCGGGTGAGAGTTGAAAACAGCGCTTTAGGCTGTAAGGGGCAGGAGACAGGGCAGGAGACCCGCAGGCAAACTGTGTCATGCGGCCCCCTAAGCCTTCTGGTTATATTGTGCATGATGCTTTGTTCATCCCTGTCGTGGCTTTGCTTATCAGCTAGGCAGCTGCTTAATGTAGTTTTTTCCCAGAGCTACGGCCCCAGACAATACAGATTTAGCTGTGTCGGTGCAAGGGACACTGCAAAATGAGTCTTGTCCTTGGGTTGCGTGGCTGCAGCTGAACTGTTTTATGAACAAACAGTCCTGGACTCAGCAGCAGCACTCATGCTACAGGAAATCCTTCAGATCCAGTGGAAGGCTTAACTTCTCTGTCAGGGGCAGGCAGGAGAAAGATAGAGGAGGAGAGACAAGCACAGGCACTTTCAAACAAAACACAGATTGTTTCACCTCTGTCCTGAGGGATGTGTGTTCACCGGACAGAGGGAAGTTCAGTTTCCATCTCATTCAGCCCTTGTACCCTCCCAACTACAAAGCAGCAGGGGCAAGTGACACCAGTTTTGAGGCTGAATTTATACTTATTGAATGATTATGCTCCCAGGAGTGTGTGTGCATCACAGATGCTGCTGTTCAGGGGCTGAGGTGAAACAAAGAATAATATTTAGAATAATATTTATACCATTAGCATTGGCGATGTTTTGTCCTTTCCTTTTTGTACCTGTCATACTGATGATGAGTTCAGAGATGGGAGCACCAGCAAAGAAATAAAAATCGGATACAAGCGATTAAATGTCACAGAACAACCCTGGGACAGCAGACTTCATGTTCCTGGAAAAAAATAAAAAATCATCATCCTCCTTCAAAATCAAGAAAGGGTAGGTTCCTGAGCACAGTCATGACTCCATTGTAAGAAAAGGAAACACAGAGTAGCCTACAAGCATCCTTCCATTATTTCATCCCAAAATGACAAGTTGATTTGCTCTTCAGCACAGGAAGTGCACCTTCTGGCCAGGCATGGAGAACGCAGAGCACAGTATGGATGAAATGGGGGCCACACTGACAGTCAGGCTTTGGCAAGGCAGGCAGGGCTGAAGCAGAGCATTATTTGAACAGGAGGCCTGGGACAGAAACATGTTGCAGGAAAAGAGTAATTCAGTAGGTGGTGCTTACTGCCAGGCGGCCAGGGTTCGAGAGGCTACTTGAGCATTGCAGGTGCCGTCTCTCTGCCAGGCTGCTGAGCGCTCAAGTGCGTGAAATTATTGAAGATGTTTTTTGGTGATGGAAGGGGGAGGGTACTTCCCAGAAGATACTTGGTCCAAGCTTCTGGCCAAGCCCCAGTTGGGGTAACTGCGATGGGTCTTCCTCAGATGCCTTTAGGACCGTGCTCTTGTCCGGCTGACTTGTACTGCAGTGTGGCTTTGGTTGCATCTTAAAACCATTGCTGCTTTTTTGGAGAGCTGTGTTGGTTGGTAAGCTGCACCTTTCACAGGAGGTGAAATCTTGCGTTCTTCTCTCAGCTTAGATTCAGTGAAAAACAAAACAGGCCAAGCAAGACTTTAAGCAATGTTCTGCCTATATATGAGCAGAAAATAAAAGACCTCTATAACTGGCTTGAAGTAGCATTCATGAAGGAAGTAAGAAAATCCTACACCATCCACAAAAAGGTACTGTTCTCCACAATTATTGTAAGAACTCTGATTTTCTTTCTCTTTGCAGCGGCACCCCCATGGCCCTCTTCACAAGAACCAGCAGTCATCCCAACACCACCGACCCCATTCCCTGTGGGGCAGACAACACTACAGAGCCTGACCTGCCACGCTCACATGCCTACTATGCCCTCTGCTACTGCATCTTGATTTTGGCCATCATCTTTGGGAACGTGCTGGTCTGCTTAGCCGTGCTGAGGGAACGCACTTTGCAAACCACAACAAACTACCTTGTGGTGAGCCTGGCGGTGGCGGACCTGCTGGTGGCTACTTTGGTGATGCCATGGGTGGTGTACCTGGAGGTGAGTACATTTTAGGCCAAATTAGCAGAATTTAACCACGGTATTAATTCACCAGCATTAGTGCATGCTCTCAGGATAGGCCAGCCCTGTTACAGATCAAGTCCATTCACATTTTAACCCCCCCCAGATAGCTCTAGGGCACTTGTGGTGGGGGTGGCAGCCCACAGTATCACACAGGTGGCCACACCACATTCCACCCTGAGTCTGGCTCTTCCTGCCAGAGCACAGCCTCTCTGAGCTTGAATGGCAGCTGGGCTACAGCCAGTAATGTAGATTGTTTGCTCTAATGTGCTTAATACCACTTTCATCCTTGAAGCTGACTCCATCAGCCAGAAGGGTTGCCAGCGAGCACCATGATGATTCAGGAAGGTGGGAGAGGCGATAGGGTGGAAATACCGTGTAGAAACTCAAAGCCCAGATCAATCTCTGCTCCTGCTGGCCAGAAAACAAGCAAGGGCAGTCAAATCCTCATCTCCTGTGGAGCTTAAGAACTTTAGCATCCATGATGTTAGGTCAGCTCCAAGCAACATTCCCCAAGCAGGCTGACAAAGAGATGAAGCTGAAGAACATGCTCCAAGATCTCCTTAAGTCTTGCAAGCGTTTTCACAATAACTTCAAAGGACTCATCAAGCCCTCAGGGTCTTATTCTCCATTTCTTTATCTTTGCACATTGGCCAGCGTAAAAATGTACTGACATGACAGCATGGCCAATATCATCAGATACAGGGCAGCAAAGGTGGAAACTGAATCCCCCTCCCACTGCAGCAAAATCCTGAATTACCGAAGCCACTCCTGGGGCAAATATTTTTACTAAAGTAAGTACATGAAGGTATGCTACATATGACATTTTAATCTGTTCTCTTCAGCGTTTTTACACTAATTCACAAAAATTGGTAGATCTAGAAAAGTTAGAGTGAACAGCTATCATCCATAAGCTTTCACCTGAGCCCTAGTACCCTGTTCTCATGCTAACAAAGACAGAATAAGCCTCTGAGCCATGATCTCACTGAAGCCTCATGCTCTTTCTCTAGGGGGAAAGCCGGGATCAGGCTGAAGGGTAGGGTAAACATTCCGTTGGCAGCTGCCCACCTTTGGCTGACCTCTTTCCCTCAAAACAAAGCAGAAGCAGAGAGGGATTTCGACGTGTGCATATGGGCTCCACGGTGCATGAACAGAAAGTAGGACAAGACACGACAACACCAGCAAAGGCCAGACCTACTATGTGGGTACAAGGAAATTTGATCAAGTAACAGGGGACTAGTAGTGGCCTACAGCCCTCCTCTGCCTCCAGCGTATGTTGAATGGGCAACACAGCTCTAAGCTTTGGCACACAGCCTAGGCATTTCCCTTGTGTTAATCCAAGCCACTCACCCAAACTGTTCCCACTGCAGTCTCAGCAAGGCTACAATTAAGAGAAATTAAGGGTTTGCTCTGTGTGTAAGCATTATTAATAAGGGCATTGATGCTAATTATGCATGTATAGTGCTGCTGCGGAGTGAAAGAATGAAGAGACCACCGTGATACTGTATGTGTGATCATGTTCTTAATGAAGGCAGCAGTGGAGTGTGGTCCTGGAGCTGGCCTGCAGGATACGTACAGCTCTGTTGTGTGATATCGAATGATTAAAAATCAAGACATAAGAGGGGGAAAGCCTCCCAGCAAGACAGAATTAGACTGTGCAATTTGATTGCAGCTGAAAAATATTATTAAAAGTCAAATTTTATTTCAGACTGGAATAGTCCATCACCTCAAGCGTGTTCCAATCCTTAATGAAATCACAGTATGCTTTGCATTAGAAAAGATTTAGCACTTGCTCTCGCTGTGGACAAGGTGGCACTGAGGCACATCTGTGAAGCAGTCTCTGCCCCCCATGCAGTACCGTGGTCACAATTTGTGAGCATGACAGTGGGTCATGTCTGTAGACCCATTCAAAATTCACTTCCATCAGTGGGGCTTGGATAATCAAAGCAGCTGATTCAACAGTCATTCCAAACAACAGGGAGAAGAACCCACACACTTCTCAGACCCGAACTACCACCCCCAGCACTGCTCTCTCCTAGAGAAATAGGCTGTAGGACTCCAGCAAGGCTACGATTTAACAAACAGTCCAAAAAGCCCCAAAGTCTTTTACTCACTGTATTTGCTGCTGTTTATGGATCAGCGATGCTACCAATGATGCAGAAATGGCATCATGCTTCAGTACACTATGGGCCTGGAAATTGCCATGAAATCATTCAGTCCCCAAAACCATATACAATACCTATTCATCTACGGAATGTTTGCCAAACCAGACATCTGAGACCTGTCCGTTATTTATGGAGAAGCTAAAGGTGGATGAATACCTCAGATTTAAAGGTCACTTGTGAACTTTGTGCTGTACACTCAATTTCTAAAGTCAGCTGTGGCCTGGACCTTGACCATGAAATTTGTCATTTTATCATTCACACAGAGCAGAACTGTCTGTTTCTGAGAAGTCTCTTGGGAAAGCTGTGAGAGAGCAGCAATAGGAATATTTTATATCCTCACCTTCACTTAATGAATCTTCTATCACAGAAATGCTATTCAGCACTGTGTCTAGCAACCTTCTGGGGTCAATGGGTAAGTCTGATATACCAGTACTACTAGTCAGTTTTTTTACTGACCCTGATGCTGTGGCTGGCATGACTACTGAAGCTCACCAAGATTTCTAAGACAGTAGCATTAGGATATCCTGCCCACTGGATTCTGATGGCATGAAATACCATCATGCCTTGTAGTCATTGTATAAATGGAGGAGGACATGTAGCAGCATGGCCTGGAGCATCCTCCTCAGTCTTCTCACAACATCCAGTTCTACCTCCAAAGGGAAAAAAGCGTCAGAAGATGGTTGTCACTGAGGTCCAGCCTGCAGCTCTGTTCAGTAAGGCCGTTTCCTCTTCTGTGGCTCTCACACCAGAGCAGCAAGACCTACAGCTGCTCCCTGAGCTTGAGGAGCTTGCCAGACTGCCATCAAAGGCAGGACACACAACTGACTTTGCCACTTAGCAGCAGGCCTGACCACAGGCATGCTCTTAGTTAGTCCCACCGTGTGAAAACACAAGCTGCGGAGAGCTAACCTCTCTCTTAAACACAGAACACCTGGGTGAGCATGTTCAGATGCACCACTGCTTACATGCCTGTCATCACCTGATGCAGTTTTGTGTTCATACTTTCCCATACAGCATCACCATACAATTTACAGAGATACTTTTGTTCTTTTTAAGGGTTCAAGAGAGTGATGGATTTACGTAAGTTTATGAATGCACAATGATTTATTTCTTTTTAAACTGGAAGACTTTCTATGGGGCTGGAAAGTTAAAAAAAAAACCAAAAACCACAATTTTGTGGATAAAGCAGACTGGACATCAAGAAAGATGAGGTGAGAACCTGACCTGAATAGTCTACAGGGAGCTTTAGCATTGTCTTTGACAGAGCCAGAATTTCATCCTGGACTCTATTCCCACTTCTGCCACATGCGCACAGAGTGGTAATGAGAGATTGTATCAGCTCATCTCTCTGTAAGAGAATAATATTTGACCATCCACCTCACCCAGGCAGTTGTGAGGATTCATTCAATTAATACCTGCGATGTTCTTTGAGATTCCTGGACAAAAGGCACCAGGGGGATAAAGAACAGGTACCCTGCCAGCATATGAAAACCAGAAATGCACACTAGCAAGTTCTAGCTGCTGTAGCAAAGATGAGTGGACCAGAGCAATAAAAGGAAGAGCAGAAACAGAATTTTTAAAATTATGGATGAGGCCTGTAATTAAAAGGCTCTTTTTCATTGTTAAATTCTGGAATAAATTCTGGGTTTCATACCCCACAGGTAAATATTAACTACTTCACTGTCTTCAGCCGAGGTTCTCTCCATTTTAGAAGTTGTAGTTGGTGGAAGTGAGGATGGGTTTTAAGACCAAACGTTTTGATCTGTCAAGCGTCCTCTTAATAGAAGCTACAGCTTAGCGTGCAGGTGGTGTGATCTGAATGCATCATCCGGAGAGGGTTCACTTCAGAGCCATTCCCACCACCACCTTCTTCAGTTTTAATGGTTCACACTCTTGGGCTTGGCTTTTGAATGTGCTCAGGACCTTGGCAAATCCCTCAGTTAAGTGCTTGCACATCTGCTGGGCTAGTGGCAGCTGCCTTTCATGCGAACACCTGGCACCAGCTCTTTGTGAAGTATTCTTCAGACTCCACAGATCATACAGACACTGCATTTTGCCTCAGATTACAGAAACACCCCTTACTGGGCCCCACTGCAAAGGCTTCCAGCATTTATAATTTATTTTTTTTTTTTTTTTTTTTTTTTTTTTTTTTTTTTTTTTTTGAGGTGGTCAAACAGATCTCAAAATTTATGACTAAAGCAAAAACGGTGTTGAGTTTCTTTGAAACCTGAACCTAACTACTAAGGTCCCTAATTTCAGAGGGACAGCCTGCACGCCTTGTGGCCCACCTAATTGTGCAGAAAAGCTCTAAGGGTTTGGTTTTTTGGTTTGATTTTGTTGTTTGGAGGGGTTTTGTGTGTGTGTTTGCTTTTTTTTTTTAAGTATCAGAGAGCTGAAGATGAAAGCACAGTTCCCCAGTGCATTTTGCATGCCAATTCCCATTTCTCTCCCCTGCATTCATTCAGAGTTGGGGGGTCTAGTAGAAGATGTTCTCATACAGTACCTGACTTCTGACACATAGCAGCTGGGTCCAGCAGAGAAAACCGTAAAGACACAGCTCACCTTAGCAAGTTTCTGTGCCCATGTGCAGGAATGCTGGTACAATCAAACCTATTTAAATTTCTCAGGATTACTTCTTAATCAACTCGGAAAACAGCTCACACAGACTGAATTCTGTATTTATACAAGTGCTTCTTGCTGCAGGGAGCTGTGTCCTTCCTAGACATCGACACTTGCTGCAGGGTTGGCCCACTGCCTTAGCAGCCAAGCTTACTGGTGGCACCCTCTCCAGCCTGATCTGGAGTGGGTGATTTTGAGCAGCACTTGAAAACCTCCAAGGATGGAGCCTGCATAGACTCACCAACCAACTGTCCTCACGGTTTCCCTTCATAACCAGTTTGCAGCTTTCTTTCAAATTATGCCTGTTGCCTCTTGTCACAGAATCACAAAATCATCTGGGTTGGAAAAGACCTTGAAGATCATCCAGTTCAACCATGAACCTCACATTGACAGTTGCCTCCCTCCATGTACTGCTGTGAAAAACCTGGCTTCATCTTCTTAGTAACCTGGCTCAAACTGTCTTAATAACCTCCCACTTGAAACTAGGGGACTGCTGTTAGCCCCCTCAAAAGCTACCACTTCTGCAGGATGAACAAGCCCAGTTCTCTTAGCTGCTCCTCACAGGAAAATTGCTCCAGCCCCAGGGACTGTTTTGGTGGCCCTCTGCTGAACTCGCTCCCATTTATCAATGTTTTTCCTGTACTGGGGCCCCCAAAACAGACACAGTACTCTAGATGCAGTCTAAATTCAACACTTGGACCACAACAACCCCCAGCAGTGCTACAGGCTTGAGGAGGTGCAGCTGGAGAGCTGCCAGTCAGAGAGGGACCTGGGGGGGATTGATAATGAGCCAGCAGTGTGCCCAGGGGGCCAAGAAGGCCAATGGCATCCTGGCTTGTGTCAGCAATAGCGTGGCCAGCAGGGACAGGGAAGGGATCTGACCCCTGTGCTTGGCACTGGTGAGGCTGCACCTCGATTTCTGGGTTCAGTTTTGGGCCCCTCACCCCAGAAAGGCCATTGAATGACTCGAGCGTGTCCAGAGAAGGGCAACGGAGCTGGTGCAGGGTCTGGAGCACAGGTCTGATGGGGAGTGGCTGAGGGAACTGGGGGGTTTAGTCTGGAGAAGAGGAGGCTGAGGGGAGACCTCCTGGCCCTCTACAGCTCCCTGAAAGGAGGGTGCAGAGAGGAGGGGTGAGTCTCTTGAGCCAAGGAACCAGTGCCAGGACAAGAGGGAATGGCCTCAAGCTGCGCCAGGGCAGGGTCAGACTGGCTCTTCGGAAGTATTTCTTTGCGGAAGGGGTTGTTGGGCGTTGGAATGGGCTGCCCAGGGCAGGGGGGAGTCCCCATCCCTGGAGGGGTTGAAGAGTCGGGTCAACTTAGCACTGAGAGATCTGGTGTAGTTGGGAACTGTTAATGTTGGGTTGATGGTTGGAGTGGATGATCTTCAAGGTCTTTTCCAACCTAGACAACTCTGTGATTCTGTGATTCTGTAAATGTAAGCAGAGAAACCAGGAACTAGTGCCAGTTCCTGATAGCTTCCCAGGATCCAGCCAAACCACTGGTATCTAGGGGGTTGAAGGCTAAAATCCAGGCTCTCTCCAAGCAAGGACTTTTCTCCCTTTCTCACCTACCCATCTTCTCCAACCAGCACAGCATTAGATTTGTTTGCTGTACTCATCCAAGGGGTTTATTTGTCGGAGGGCAAGCTGCCTCCTTGTTCATCCACCACAAGGAGCGGGTGCTGAGGCAGACCATCTCTCTCTGAGTCAGGGTATATCCCAGCCCTGAGGAGAGAGGTGTCACACGGTGCTTGGACCATATTGTTGTGAACCAAAAAGGTCACTGTCAAGAACTTAATGCCTGGGCCAAAAAATGCATTTCTCCATCACAAAGATTGGCCATGGTTAAGCTTTCATGATTACACACTTCAGATTAAAAATTCAAAGCAACCAGAACAAAAGCTCGACATGGTAGCAAACAGAAACCCTTTATCCAAATAGTTTGTGAGTTCTCACTCAGATCTAATAATCAAAATCTGCTAATTGATATAAGAATCCAAATAAAGTTTTAGAGAAGCTTCGGGTCTCAGGTCTCTGTTTCATACATAAATGCATAAAATTTGCAGCACTTTTCCAGCTTACTGCCTGCAGGAGAACTCCAGAAACATTTTTCAGAAACTTTTTCAGAAACACTTTTCAGCCCTTAGATTTTCTCAGGTAATCCTTAATCAAAGGATATATACAGTGATATCAAATTTAAATCAATTTATCATGCTAGACCTTAAGGGAAGGGGTAGCTGCTATCTATTCCTTCACCCTGCCTTCATCTGTAGGAGTAACTAAAGGATTGAAATCGAGGTGTGTCTCCTGCTCCATGACCTACCACTGTGTTATCTTGCATACAAGACAGATGCCTCAGTTTCCCTCTGCACATCACAGTGAACATGAAGTCATCTAGCTGCTGAGATACTTGGAGGAGGGCACCTCCTTATACATAACTGAGCAGGACTTGGTGCAGAACAAGGCTGACGGTTTTGTGGTTGCTGCTACAGGTGACCGGAGGAGTGTGGACTTTCAGCCGCATTTGTTGTGATATCTTCGTCACCATGGATGTAATGATGTGCACAGCCAGCATTTTAAACCTCTGTGCTATCAGCATTGACAGGTGAGAGCTAGCAGCATCCAGGGGGATAGTCTGGAGATGAGGGTTGGCCCTGTACCCCAGCATGGCAAGGACAAAGAAATGGGGTTTGCACAGGCACTATCGGTGTCTTCAGGAACACAAACCCCCCTGCAGTCTCTCACTGCCACGACTGCTATTAATATGGCTCTGTCCATGTGTTGGAAGATGTCTGCTCTTAAGGACAGAGAGACACAAGCAGTAGGACATCACCAGTAGGTAGTCAGCCACATCCTCATGCCTTTTAAAGGCAGGAGCCAGAATTGGCCATCTAATTCCCATTGGGTCTCAAAGAGGGTTTCTCATTCTGGAGACCTCACTTATCAAGTTTTAACAAACAAAATCCTGCCATATACATAGGGAGGGGGGAAGGTTATTGCTGTGTAATCTTCAGCCTCACCCTGGAGGTTGGTTTGCATCTTAAAACTGAGCCTATTTTAAGCAATGCTGAGGGCTGGGAGCCAAGACCTTGGCACACATGGTGCTGTTAGGGCCGAGAAGAGGGGGGGAAGGAAAAAATGCGTGTTATACCTTTGTAATATATGGTTCAAGGGTGATCATACAAAGCAGCTCTCCACACTGGGTTGGTTTGGTGTTCCTCCATGAGAATCTTTATCCTCATTCCATTTTGTGACCATCTGCAAGGAGCAGCCCCCAGGCCATCTTAGGCGAGACTCCTGTACCTCCCAAATCCTAGCCTTGCTGAGCTGCATCCCCTGGGCCACGCCGGCAGCCAAAGGCCATGGACACCCACCCATGGGCAATTCTCTGCCTGTCAGTGAGGCCAACACCAGAGAGAGTGGCTGAGACACAGAGTGTAGCAGGTTGTGGTTGCTCCAAGGACGGATCTTTCCCAGCAGTACACAAATAACCTTAGGGGCTTGGGGGATGGGGGTTTCCTGGGGTTTCTAGACCCGTCTGGTATCCCAAACCTTGTAGCTTCACAGTGCCAGTTCTGCAGAGTGCCAGTTCTCTGAAGGGCTGCCAACTAACTCTGATTTCCTCTGTTCCTCCCCCCAACACCCCACTTACCATTTCTACAAATTGCTGATCCCATCATCTGATCTTCTCTCCTTTCCTCTTCCATTCCTTCACCACATTCACCATCATGTTTCCTACATGACTTTCATTTTTCCTTTTAAAACCTGGTCCTTTTCCTCCCTCCATTTTTACCTCTCCTCTTTCTGGAGCTGGTTTGGTCTGCAGGTACACCGCAGTGGTGAAACCAGTTCAATACCAGTACAGCACTGGGCAGAGCTCCTGCAGGAGGGTCTCTCTCATGATCGTGATAGTCTGGATGCTGGCGTTCGCAGTGTCATGCCCGCTCCTCTTTGGCTTCAATACTACAGGTAGGTGATATCCTGAACAATAGCACGCAGGGAGGGTTTGGAAATAGAGATGCCCTGTGCATGGACAGGTCATTTAACATGGGTCCTGCAGATTTTCCAAGTGATATAAAATTTTTGGGAACTGGAAAGCACACTATGAAGAGTGACAAAAATCTCCAGTGCTGGAGAGCAGATGTGCTCTTATCTATAAGCTTGACATTTGCTCAAGCAGACACTGGCTATTGCTCTGAGGACAGACCAGCCTGCTTTACTGTCAAATCAATGCCCATCAAAGTGTCCAGGTCTACAGATCCCCCCAAACAATCACTCTATGCACACAGAGCAAATATCCAGACATCCAACACATGCACACATCAGACTTACTGCATCTTGCCCATGTCAACAGGTCCAGACAGTTTTAAATCACTACAGGACACAATTCTGAACAGCAAGGATTGTATATTGGCACTGCTTGTGAGAAACCTCCTCCCCATCCCACTGGCTGTCTGCTTCCTCACCTAATCCCTTGAGGAGAGCAAACAGTTTAGCCTCCTCCTTGGAAGCAGGTTGGTCTTTGTCCTTCCCCTCACCTAGGGCAGCCTGGATTCTCCCTGGAGGCAGAGGGGCAGGGAAGATTTCTTCCCTAGAGAAACAGGCAGAAGTCCTCTGCTCCCCATCCATCCTCTATGCATTGCTTGAGGCAAGAAGGGAAGAAGGGGACCGGGGGATGGGGGAGGGAGGGGGGAAAGTGCTGCTGTCTCCCACTGCCACAGATCGGGGGGAAGGCACACCTCTGCATCTAGACAGCTCAGAGGCTGTCAGAGGAATAGAAGAAAGGACAAAAGGGAAAAGGATCCTCTGAGAATGGATGGGAATAGACTTGAGAGAAGAGGTCAGAGCTGTTGGCCAGAAAAGCAAGCAGATGCATGCTGGGTCATGCTAGATGGTCCCAGGCAGAGTCCATTGTAAGCATCAGTTAGGTGAGTGGGTAGGCCACAGTATAATTTGCAACAAAGAGATAGGAGATACTTGCACTCCTTAGACTGCCTTTGTCCCCTGGATGCCTTTCGACTTGCTTTGCCAACACACCAGAGCCCCCTTGTACCAAATCAAAGCAGCTCAGCCACTCCTCTCTCTCTCTTCTCCTCCCCAGCGGATCCCAGTGTCTGTTCCATATCCAACCCTAGTTTCATCATCTACTCCTCTTTGGTGTCCTTCTACCTCCCCTTCATGGTGACCCTGCTGCTCTATGTCCGGATTTACCTCGTGCTAAGACAAAGACAAAAGAAGCGAACCCTCACCCGGCAGGGCAGCCAGAGCGCCAGCACCAAACCGGGTTATGCACACAAAGTAAGATCCACATGAACGCAGTGGGAGCTGTCAAAAAAGAACAGGGCATGCATCATTTCTTCTTCTCAGAGAGCCAAAGCACAGAATGGAAAACATAAAGGAGGGACATGGCATGTTTTCATCCCATCCTTCACTCATATGCCGTGATATTTGAGATGTAGAGGCTCCAGTTAAATCCTTTTCACCCCTCTAGAAAGAGGATACTCCCTGTGTATCTCTACCCTCTAGAACCAGACAACTAGAAAAGAGCACAGTCTACTTCAATATGTCTTCAGAGCAGGGCTTTCTCAGCCATGCAGAAGTCTGGCTAATGTCTTCATTTATTGATATTTAATGTCTTCATTTATTGATTTTTGCTCTGGGAAGCTTTGTTCTCGGGGATTTACAGGCTTTAACCTAGATTATTTTTAAAAAAACCCAAACAACAACCTCTTCATCTGACAGATTTAAGAGGTCAAAATGCTCATGGTGCATGGAGCGTTTGTTCCACTGACCTTTCTAGATAAAAAATCTGCAACCATGGGAACCAGCACAATGGTTTGAAATGGATTGCCTGCTCACACATATCTGCTTGTTTTATTCATTTTCTCCAAGTGAAGCTACATTTAAAAAGGGTGGGGATGCTGAGGGGAGCGGGGCCAACCCAAAAATAGAAGTGAAAGGTCAGCAGAGCAGCTCTTCTTGTTCTCATGCTTCTCCTTGGTGAGATGGAAGCAGAGAGTTGTCCAGTGCTGGTTCACCCCACTGATAAGCCAAGGTCAGTCCAGAGGACACGGTGCAAACCTAAGAAGCCAGTGGGGCTAAGGATGACTCCTAAACTTTCCTTATCATCCTTTGACCCAGTGGATGGTTTGGGTGGTTCCCAGTTTCTCTGTGTCATTCTCTTTTGCAGGAACACGTGGAGAGAAAAGCTTTGTCAAACAGATGCCAAGGCACCTTTTCCCCCTGTCTCCCACTCAAATGCTCAGGCCGGGAGATGTCAACCCCAAGGAAGTTGCTGACTCCCTTCAGCCTGCAGCGGTATCGCAGCTTCTGCCACGAGGCATCCCTCACCAAGACACCAGGGACTACACAGCACAGCAGGCTGGAAGAAAGGAGAAAGAGCACGAAGCTGGGACTGGAGGTACAGAGGCTCAGCGATGGCAAAACCATCAGCTCTTTGAAGCTAAACCACCAGCAGCCCCGGCTGATCCAGCTTCGGGAGAGGAAGGCTACCCAGATGCTAGCTATTGTCCTGGGTGAGTGAGAGCCCCCCTCTCTAGTGGGGTGCAACGGGTGATGGTTTGGGACTTGCCAAGAGCAAGGAAGCTCCTAACACAGTATTGAGATTTAAAAAAAAAAAATGCAAGCCAGGCCCAAGCTCCAGCTGTCACTGCTCCACAAACTCAGGAGAAACATCAGTGGGACATTTAGGAATCTAGGATAATGCTCTCAAATGTTGAGAGCCAAGTATGTCAGTGTTTTATTTGCTATGTTTTAGTACCCTTTTGTTTTAAATCAGTGGCCAAGAAGTCCTGCTTAGAGGGAGCAACAGCCAACACCGTTGCTTTCCCCTTTCCTTTATTATTATAAACCTGATAGAATCCTAAATTCCCATACATGCAGCAGCTCTTAGGTCCAATTACAGATGAGGAAACTGAGGCAAGGAGCAGCAGAGGAACCAGCTCATAGAGCTGGATAGAGAAGTCAGGAGACTGGTGCCCCAGTCACCTGCCATGGTCACCAGATGCACTGATACTCCTCATTAACTCAGTAGTTGCAGAGAAATAACGCAGCCTTCACGGTAAGTGATTAAAGCAGATAAGGCAGCAGTCTTTAAGCTGTGGCCACTTGCTTTTGTCTGTCACCAGGCCACTACTGAAGCCCCATGCACCCATTCACTGGTCCCCAAAAGCCTGAGCTCTTGCCAAGTCCCTCTGTATCAGGAATAAATGCCACCTTCAGTGTTTAGCAAATGCAGACACGTACATGGAAACAGTGAGAGGATGGAGAGGAGGGCACAGGTGCAGGCCCCTTTCCAAGTAGTTGCTTCTCTAAAGCCATGGCTGGTTTTCTCCCTCTCTCTAAACCCAGGGGCATTCATAGTCTGCTGGCTACCCTTCTTCTTGATTCACATCCTCAACACCCACTGCCCGTCCTGCCACGTGCCCCCGGGGCTTTACAGTGCCAGCACCTGGCTTGGTTACGTCAACAGCGCCCTCAACCCCATCATCTACACAACCTTCAACACTGACTTCCGCAAAGCTTTCCTCAAGATCCTCTGCTGCTGACCATGGGACTGGCACAGGGCTGCATGGACTGTGGTTTGCAACAAGACTCTTGGGCTGGGGACAAGGAGCAGGGCCCTTCCCTCTATCTGCTTTACACACCGCAGGGAGTGATGCCTTTCCCTTGGCTGGGAGCAGTGGCAGTCGGAGCAACGTGCACACCCTCTGCACCGGAGCGAGGGGCAGGAACGTGCCCCATCTCCACAGCTGGCTTCCCACACCGAGCCTCCATGCTCCTGCTTCAGAGAGCACAAGCGCTTCCCACTTCTGGGGAGGGAGGGGAAGAACACACAGAGGCCAACCAGTGATTCCCTTGTTGGGCACAGCATTGGGCACAGCAGCACTATCAGTGTTCCCCCTCCTCCTAATGCAAGGACCAGCGATAGATTGGCCACTACTTATCTACCACACACCAGGTCATCTACTGGGGCCACTAAATAATGAACTAGGCTTAGGATAGCGCCAGTCATGCCCGCAATAGCTTCAAACCTGTTTTTTTCAGGTGGGGCAGTTTGCACGCACCCTGTCTCAAAATTTGTTTGGTTTTGGAAGCAGTCTCGATTTGTGATCCTCTCCTCATCAGGAGCACTGCTAGATTAAACACTTTTTTACCCCCAGCAGCACTACAGGCTTGGGGAGGAGTGGCTGGAGAGCTGCCAGTCAGAGAGGGACCTGGGGGGGATTGATAATGAGCCAGCAGTGTGCCCAGGGGGCCAAGAAGGCCAATGGCATCCTGGCTTGTGTCAGCAATAGCGTGGCCAGCAGGGACAGGGAAGGGATCTGACCCCTGTACTCGGCACTGGTGAGGCTGCACCTCGATTTCTGGGTTCAGTTTTGGGCCCCTTACCCCAAAAAGGCCATTGAATGACTCGAGCGTGTCCAGAGAAGGGCAACAGAGCTGGTGCAGGGTCTGGAGCACAGGTCTGATGGGGAGCGGCTGAGGGAACTGGGGGGGTTTAGTCTGGAGAAGAGGAGGCTGAGGGGAGACCTCCTGGCCCTCTCCAACTCCCTGAAAGGAGGGTGCAGCAAGGAGGGATGAGTCTTTTGAGCCAAGGACCCAGCGCCAGACCAAGAGGGAATGGCCTCAAGCTGCGCCAGGGCAGGGTCAGACTGGCTCTTCGGAAGTATTTCTTTGCAGAAGGGGTTGTTGGGCGTTGGAATGGGCTGCCCAGGGCAGGGGGGGAGTCCCCATCCCTGGAGGGGTTGAAGAGTTGGGCTGACCCAGCACTGAGGGATCTGGTGGAGTTGGGAACGGTCAGGGTGAGGTTCATGGTTGGACTGGAGGAGCTTCAAGGGATTTTCCAACCTAGACAATTCTGTGATTAAGAGTTTGTCCTGTCAGACTGTTGCAATAAGTCCCGTTACCTGTGCTTGGGGAAGAGCTGCCTGAGTAACATCCCTCCCAGTCAGACAGGACATTTGCCTCAGGATCAGACTCTCCCTGGCTCCCCTCACTGACGTAGCTGTCAGCACATCTGGGGTGTCCATACACCCCAGCTCCCAGGAGCTGGCCAAACACAGTCCTGCGACTTTCTCCTTTCCCAGCAGCATTTTACAAAACCATCTCCAGGTGTTCCTGGATGAAAACACCAGACAAGCCCTGCTGTACCATGTAGGCTAGTCTCATGGTGGGGCACTCTAATGCTCTTCTCCCTGTATAGACAAATCTGTCCTGGGACAGCCTCAACACATTTCTCTCATTTCCCCACCTCACTCTACTGGCTCAGAAGCTCCAGCTCTCACTCCCAAGACCAGGCTTAGCTGTGCTGTTAGCCACAACCGTTTGACAGCTTTGGGTGTAACTGTGTGTACTGTCTCTGCCTGTGTCCATGCCACAGCTCCTCCATCCAGGAGGGGCTTCCTCTCTTTCCTAATGTAAAACCAAGCCCTCCACCTCTGGAGCACACAACAGAGCTCTAGCTTCTTTTGTTTGCATTTTGAGAGGAGATGCTCATCGACAGCATGCGTTGTTTGCCTGGGGAGGTGCCCTCCATATTGTGTTGTAACTGCATTAATCCAATAAAACACGGATGTAATGGGAAGTTTTGGTACCTTTGTAGCCCTTTCATAAGCCTTTTCTCACCTGTAGCTCTCAACACTTTTCCTGTACAAAATGATCATCTGCCTGGACATCCACAAGAGATCTTTTATTTACTTGCATTTTACTTGCAACTGGGAAAGAAATCAACAGCTGCTGTAAGCACTTCCAGCAGATGAATTCTGAAATTATGGTCAAGTACTTTCCCAGCTACGCCAAGCAGGCTTGTGGTAGCGTTACTCCATCTGCTCAAAAGTGGATCAACCTGTGGACAGATTGCTGCTCAAGTAATTCTCATTAAGGTGCTTCATACCACAGATCACCAGAGACCAGTTTCAGTTCCTTTATATACACCATTCCCAGAAAGGTGGAAACAAGGAAAAATTTCTTTTAAAGGGTGGCTTGTGAGATGCTAGCCCTGGCCTAGCATCTCTTAGGTTTCATGTTCAGTCTGATTAATCTTGAATTCGAACCTGTTCTTCAAGCAGTGATCCCCAAGGTGATTCAGGATAGAGGTGAGGAACAGGAGGTGTGGCAGAAGACAAGCAGTATTTTGGTGCCCACAAAGCTATGAGAAATGAGGGAAGTTCTGTATCTAAATATATGGTCTTTCATTTAATAATTAAGATTTGAACTATCAGATCACAGAACTGACAGCAACCTCTTGAACTATAACCTGCTATGGACAAAAAAAAAAAACACCAAAAACCATCACAAACCCACCCTCAGTTACAAAAACTCAACTCCAAAAGAAAGCAATCCCTCTCTCCCCCTCACTCCAGCACTGCTTGAGCTCCATGCCCAGTTTTACTGTCGCAATATGAACCAGCAATCAAAGGTGTAACCAGTTGATGCCCCTGTGCCCTCCCCAGGAAGCCAGAGGGACAGCTGAGGAGCCCCCAGGACCTGTGCTTCACAAGCCCCCACTCATGATTTGTAGCAGAATAATCTGCACTCCCTCATTTTTTAACTGAAATGCGTCCTCCTGAACTTCATTTTTTTGCCATGTTTTCAACTTTGCTGTTTTATTTCCCCCTGGTTCCATGACTGTCTGGAAGAGGATAGGCGAGACGTGACTCTGTGCTCTGCTGAAGAACCACAGGCATTGTACAAGGCTTCATTTCCATGCTGATATTCACATTAGAAGAGCCTTTGGAGAATGCAGAAAGCTCCTCTCCTGCAGAGAGAAAGAGAGAGCTCAAAGACCGACACAGGCTGTAAATAATTCCTGGTGTCAGGAGACCTGCTCCGACAGCACAGCTGGGCAGCAAGGGGTCCTGCTGTCTGTGCTCACCTTCCCTCTGCTCCACCAGGCTCCAGGATTGGGATATCAAAGGTCCTCTGGGTTAGATGTAAACGAGCCAGAAGGCAGAATAGCCAGGAAGCATCTCTACTGTAGCTGAGGAGAGTTAAGACCCTTTGGAGATGAAGAGCTGGCAAAACCCTCTGGGAGCAGCAGCCCCCCCTCCTGCATGGCACAAGGCAACCATCCAAGTACTGGCTGTCTAGACACAATTACAGCATGCCTGAGAAATGGTCTGAAAAACACCATTTATCCCCTGCCTCCACCTTTTCTCCAGGCAGACGTGTGTCCCAGCTCACAGAGCCATAATCTCCGACCGTGCTGCGGGAGCCCAGACAAATGAGCCACTGGGCCCTCGTACAGGCTTGCTTGGGGTGCGTTGCGCTTGCTCAGCTTAGGAGGCACCTGCAGCTCTCTCACAGACGCCCACACCAGCTCAGACAAAGCCACAGAGACCCCCATCTCCTCCATACGTACCCGGGAATATGGCTGTGGTAGTTGTGCCGCATGTCGCATGCATCAAGTTTGATGCTCCTGCCTGTGATGTTGCTCTTAGGGGGCTCCTGAAGAGCCCATCCCACCTAGGTGTGAATCCATAGTTCAGAACAAGAGGTTTTGTAGAATAAGTGGTAAGAGCATGACTCCGAGCTGAAAAGGACAGCTGGCCAGGCAGCAACCTACTTTCCATGGTGCCTCTCAACCTGCAACCTCTCCTTGGGCTGCTCTGTGGTAGCCGTGATGGTAGAGGGTATTTAAGGTGGGTACTGATCGTCTGAAAACAAGGCAAGACAAAACAAATCGCCCTAAGCAGCTCTCAGTCACTCAGTCCTACAAACATTGCTGGAGCGATGGGCTGAGCCCAGATGGGGGAGTTTCATTAGGGGCAAATGCCGGGGGCTGCCCTTGGGCCACAACAACCCCCAGCAGCGCTACAGGCTTGGGGAGGAGTGGCTGGAGAGCTGCCAGTCAGAGAGGGACCTGGGGGGGATTGATAATGAGCCAGCAGTGTGCCCAGGGGGCCAAGGAGGCCAATGGCATCCTGGCTTGTGTCAGCAATAGCGTGGCCAGCAGGGACAGGGAAGGGATCTGACCCCTGTACTCGGCACTGGTGAGGACGCACCTCGATGAGTGGGTTCAGTTTTGGGCTCCTCGCCCCAGAAAGGCCATTGCATGACTCGAGCGTGTCCAGAGAAGGGCAACGGAGCTGGTGCAGGGTCTGGAGCACAGGTGTGATGGGGAGCGGCTGAGGGAACTGGGGGGGTTTAGTCTGGAGAAGAGGAGGCTGAGGGGAGACCTCCTGGCCCTCTACAGCTCCCTGAAAGGAGGGTGCAGAGAGGGGGGATGAGTCTCTTGAGCCAAGGAATAAACCATAGGACAAGAGGGAATGGCCTCAAGCTGCGCCAGGGCAGGGTCAGACTGGCTCTTCGGAAGTATTTCTTTGCAGAAGGGGCTGTTGGGCGTTGGAATGGGCTGCCCAGGGCAGGGGGGGAGTCCCCATCCCTGGAGGGGTTGAAGAGTCGGGTTGACCCAGCGCTGAGGGATCTGGTCGAATTGGGAACTGTCAGTGTTGGGTTAACAGTTGGACTAGATGACCTTCAATGTCCCTTCCAACCAAGATGATTCTGTGATTCTATGATCCTGTGAACATGGCAGGAAGAAGCAAGCGGAGAGCATCTCCATAGCTCACTTCCAGACCTTCACAGACCACCAAAATTGTGTATTTAGGCTGCTTTATGGTGGTTATTGTAACTATGTCTGTGGTTTACCTGGGTGCAGGTGCAACAGGAGATGTCTGTCACAGATCAGAGCCCCACATGTACCCCACGGCTCTAGGCTGTGTTCTCAAGGGCCACAATTTAAACTTCAGGTCTAGCAGCAAGAACACAGGTTACCCAAGTTACTGAAACTTTCAATGGTACCGGGCACCAAACTTAAGCCATCCAGAGCTAAAAGAATAAATTCTTATGCTGAGTTTTACACTGTAAAACATAAAGAGAGAAGAAACCATAAAATACTTCCCTGTCAGAGGCAGCAGCAGGCACTACAGGCAGCAGGTTACACAGGAGTCTTTAAGCAGGAGAGCACAAGGGCCCATGGGGCAGAAGGTAAAACAATCTTCCATGAGGGAAAACTGCTGCCGGGAAGGCAAGGACATGATGGAGGAGGCATGGCCCCACTGCTCTGTGGGTGACCCTGCTCAGCTAACATGTTAACGTGATCCAGCACACCTTGCAGCAGCTGTTGGACACGCTGTCTGAACGGTCCCAGCTGCACCAGACATTAAAA